GAATCATCACTCCTTCCTTTTTGAGATATATTCTGATTCCTCGCCCCTTTGAAACATAGCCCCTTCCATTTTGAGATAAATTTCTGATTCCTCGCCCCTTTGAATCATCACTCCTTCCTTTTTGAGATATATTTCTGATTCCTCGCCCCTTTGAATCATGGCCCCTTCCATTTTGAGATAAATTTCTGATTCCTCGCCCCTTTGAATCATGGCCCCTTCCATTTTGAGATAAATTTCTGATTCCTCGCCCCTTTCAATCATCGCCCCTTCCATTTTGAGAGTTATTTCTGATTCCTCGCCCCTTTGAGTCATCGCCCCGTCCATTTTGATATATATTTCTGATTCCTCGCCCCTTTGAATCATCGCCCTTCCATTTTGAGATATATTTTTGATTCCTCGCCCCTTTGAATCATCGTCCCTTCCATTTTGAGATATATTTCTAAACCCTCGACCCTTTCAATCATCGCCCCTTCCATTTTGAGATATATTTCTGAACCCTCGCCCCTTTGAATCATCGCCCCTTCCATTTTGAGATATATTTCTGATTCCTCGCCCCTTTGAATCATCGCCCATTCCATTTTGAGATATATTTTTAAATCCTCGCCTCTTTGAATCATCACCCCTTCCATTTTGAGATATTTTTCTGATTCCTCGCCGCTTTGAATCATCGCCCCTTCCATTTTGAGATATATTTCTGATTCTTCGCCCCTTTGAATCATCACCCCTTCCTTTTTGAGATATATTTCTGATTCCTCGCCCCTTTGAATCATAGCCCCTTCCATTTTGAGATAAATTTCTGATTCCTCGCCCCTTTGAATCATCGCCACTTCCATTTTAAGATATATTTCTGATTCCTCGCCCCTTTGAATCATCGCCCCTTCCATTTTGAGATATTTTTCTGAACCCTCGTCCCCTTTGAATCATCGCCCCTTCCTTTTTGAGATCTATTTCTGATTCCTCGCCCCTTTGAGTCATCGCCCCGTCCATTTTAAGATACATTTCTGAACCGTCGCCCCTTTGATTAATCGCCCCTTCCAGTTTGAGATATATTTCTGATTCCTCGTCCCTTTGAATCATCGCCCCTTCCGTTTTGAGATATATTTCTGAACCCTCGCCCCTTTGAATCATAGCCCCTTCCATTTTGAGATATATTTCTGAACCCTCGGCCCTTTGAATCATCGCCGCTTCCATTTTGAGATATATTTCCGAACCTTCGCCCCTTTGAATCATCGCCCCTTCCTTTTTGAGATATATTTCTGATTCCTTGCCCCTTTGAATCATCGCCTCTTCCATTTTGAGATATATTTCCGAACCCTCGCCCCTTTGAATCATCGCCCCTTTCATTTTGAGATATATTTCTGAACCCTCGTCCCCTTTGAATCATCGCCGCTTCCATTTTGAGATATATTTCTGAACCCTCGTCCCCTTTGAATCAACGCCCCTTCCATTTTGAGATGCATTTTTGAACCCTCGCCCCTTTGAATAGTCGCCTCTCCCATTTAGAGATGAATTTCTGAACCATCGTCCCTTTGAATAGTCGCCCTTTCCTCTTGAGATGCATTTTTGAATCCTCGCCCCTTTGAATCATCGCCCCTCCCAAAGAGTTTTTGAATAATCAACCCTACCAATTTGGGACTGGCTACTCTTTTCTGACGCTCTGCTTTGTGGACTCTGTTCTAGTCCCCCTTTGATTTTTTCAGAAATTCAGTATAAAAAATTGTACTTAAAATTAATTTTTTTTTGTCATAAACTGCGTTAAAACGTTTCACCATGAACAGGTGAACAAACTTTTGCAACATTTCTTACGTGCAAATTATCGTGTGAACAATTTTCGAACCGCTTTATTTTGAGCTTTTAGAAGAAGGTGGGAAACTGTAAAAGAGCAGCGTTTGTATAGATTGTACTAGAACTACTATCAGTTTTTCGATCTTATGTTTTTTTCTCCAGTTGCGTAAGGATCATCAATGTGCATCTGAGAACGTGTAAGAACCCTGACAAAGAAAATATCATCACGAGCGGTCAAACTGTGCATTTTGTGAGTTGTAAGCGGGTTCCGCAGCAAGGGCTTTCTCTTTGTCTTCTTTTGTTCTTTCGCCTTTTTTTGGTCAAAATTTTATAAACATGTTTAAAGACTTGTCTCTGGAATCCAGAAGTCGACAGACACCAAAATGTGCGCCTTTCCAATGCACAGGTTGGCTTCTTAATGCTAAATTCTGTAGGATTTTGCATGTCTGCATTTAAAGCTCCAAGAAGATCTAACTTTGAAGTGTCTTAGTGACTAGTTCTCGTCTGTTCGAGACTTGGTACTGCCGTGTAATCACCTCCGCGCGCTACCACTTTAGCTTTTTTTGTTTTGGTTGCCGTTAGCTATCTGTATGAAAGCCGAGTCTGCCTCGGAATAGTCATGGTCGCTTTCGTCCCCGAGTTACGACGCGGAAGCTTCGCATAAAGCACAATTTTATCCTAATTTGTTGACATATTTCTTCTCAATTGTTTCACATTATATTTCTACTTGTGCGAAAAATAAGAACTGTCGCTAAGAATATTCTACTTGCGCTAAGAATAAGAATTTGCGCTAAGAACTGTCTAAGTTTCGTGTCTCCCTTTTTGATCTCAATCGATGGTGTCTTTTTCGCGTCGCACTCTAAATGTACTACATTACGAGGCCACACTGTGTATTTTAGGAATTGCGAGCCGATTCCGCATATAAAGATATTCAAATTCTCCTTGCCTAATTTAATTGTACAAGTTTGTGTATTCAGAGAGCGGGATTGATTTTATTGGAGAAGAAATTGAACTTCTGATTTTTTAGAAATCAGGAACAAACAGGTTCCATCTTTGATACTGCTTAAGGGTGTTAGCTATTAAAGAACCAAATCGGTCAGTAAATCAAGCTAACGGATGAAGTGTTGGCGACAACGTTTTATTTAGTGAATCAATCGTTAAGTTCCCGTCAAACAACGCATGTTATTGCCAAATTTAGCACATTGGAAACGTTAGCACCGAGATTTTGTCTTTTAGTTAAACATTCGGTTCTTTTCCGTTGCTGAATTCGATGAAAGCAGCAACCTATGTAAGCTCTATGTGAACTCACATGCCTGCGCAAAAGATGTTGGCAGTGTTGGCTACAGGGTTTGTCCTTTTCATGAACAAGCACTCGGAGTGACATGCCAATTCGACTATAAGTTGAAGACTGATGCTCTTGTTTGGAGCGAGGAATCCGCCGGTCTCAGTAGGCACTCACTTCTAGGCCGATTAAATATGCCGAATTACGTCAAGGACAACGTCGCTCACTCCGCAACGTTTATGGTTTTATCGGGACAATTAGTTAGACACTTCGTAAAATTTCGCCCGGTAGTCGCCTGATGGGGGAAATAAGGATGTCGCCATGGCAAAAAAAACTAAGCTACTGTCAAAACACCTGTGCAATAGTTTAGCGTTTTAATCGACTAGATGAATAAAGTTTACTTACTTAGATTTAAAGAACGTGCTCAACTCAAACTCAGATGCTTTTAAATCAAGAGACTAGAATACTGGTCGTGAATTTTTTTTTAAAAATATGTTTATTTGCACAAAAAAGCCCGCGATTCTCCTGAATTGTTTTTTTGTTTCTCATATAAAACTCAATATTGGATTCAGAACTGTGTTTTGGCAAAACCGATAATGATCAATTTCATTCTGTTGAGTTTAGTGCTGAAAAATATTAACTTACTCATTGACCTGAAATGTGAACTATTGCTTTTTCTGTGCTGAAAAAAGTCTAAACTACCAAAGAATGTTTTTGAAGTAATACAATTTTTTGAAATACAGTTTTAAAAAATTAATTCACTAATTATTTTGTACGCCTAAAATTGAACTTTTTCAAGTTAGTATGGAAACAATTACAATTTTTCACCAAAAGCAGGATCAACAAAAAAACATCCGAAAAATGTGATCTTTTGGATAAAGTTTGTTGCTGGGAAATGTGTATAAACAGTTTGTGCATAGACAAATTGGTTCGTCAATTTTTTGTTTCGTAGGCAAGATCTAAGTTAAAAAAAGAATTTTGCCAGATTTAGGATAATTGCTAAGAATGTCAGAAAAGTTTAGATTCAGTTCAAGTCTTACTATTAGATTCAGTTTTACCAAGCACGAAATACCTATTTGGATTGCAATTTGAAGTCAAATTAGTTTTAAAAAAAATTATAGCGGACGTTTTTTTATTGGCACATGCATCACTGAGTGTTTGAAATACTTAAACACAGTCGAATTTTTTAACCATCATCTCCTTTTGTTTAAACAGCAGAAAAAAGTTGAGATTTTTTCAAAATATCAAGACCATCGCAATCGAAACTAAATGTTTCCTGTTTTTGAAGTTTATGTGGGCAAAATTTTTTCTATATGATATCAATGATGCCGTTTTTTTGGCTTGTAAACACTTTTTTCGGGTTTCAGATCAAGTTAAAAAAAACTTACAGGAGATAGCACGATTTTATTATATTAGCATCATTGAGTGTTAGAAGTAATTGAGCAAATTCGTTGTTTCAACCACCTAAAACAAGTAAGCTGGCAGCTACACAGCAAAAAAAAGAACGAGTAAGCTCTGACAATTCCGTAATATCTCGACCATTTTTTTAAACCTGCGATGATCAAAACTAAGTATTTCCAGCGTTTGAGAACCAGATAAACTTTTTTCCGCGACAAACGCACCAGACACAAAACGGCGTAAGTTTTGCGGGAATGTTTTCTTAGAGTTTTTTTTTCAGATTTTAATGTTTTACTTAAATTCATCATTTTTCGTCTAGTGTACTTTTGTTTTACATTTTCAGGCAACGGTAAATTGTTTACAATTAGTTTATTACTGAGAACTACTTCTGTCTCTGATTCGGAGCTACCTTAATTTTTTTTGGATTGAGATACGTTGTCTTACCTTCTAGAAAAAAGCTAGACAGGTCAAAGAACCAGCGGCTCTTTGTGACTTAGAGAATGACACTTGTTTCTCTTTATCACCATTTACATACCTTTGTACTGGCAACCCTTCTGTCGCTTGACCACAGTTCCAGATCTGTCGAGATAGCCATACCATTCTCCATTAACTCCGTCCACAAACTGAAAAGGTAAGCAATCCATGCTAATAAAAACAAGAAGAAACAAGGCTAGCCGGCTACAGTGCAAGCAGCACAGAATGTTCCAACCAAATTATTTAAAAAAAGTTTTTTTAAAAAAAATTAGTGTCGTTTTTTTCGGCGAAGGAGCTGAACAAAAAACTAGAGACTGAAGCATATTCGACATTCATACTAAAAACAGCAAATTGAAAAACATTTTTTGAAGTAAAGTTAGAAGAAAGACAATTTTTTTCCCATTTTTTTGCAGTTTTTTTTTTGAATTTTTGATTCCCAAAAGGCGCTAAAATAGGTTAAAAGTTTTACTCGGGTAGCCTTAGTAAAAGCTTTTTGAAAATTTAAATATCGTTCAAATCACAATGGTAAAGGCTTTAATATTGTCTATCACTCAACTCTCTTCGATGATTATTTGTGGTAGCTGATTTTGCGTGGAGAACAAAACAAAAAGAATAAAAACTAAAAACACACTTAAACTATTTTTCAAATGGTCGGAACATCAACAGAAAAAAAAACATTAATAAAATTGCATCATTCAAATTTAATGTTTTGTAATAACTTTTTTGATGCGCGCAAAAATCATAACTTCAATTCAGGTTAATTTTTTCAAAAGAGCGGCTGCATCTGCAGAATATACTTATCCACATAATTTTTTTCCACAAAATTACTATGATTATAAAATGCGCGTTCTCGATTGTGTTTAATGAAATTTCGAAATTAAACTTACATGTTCTTTGCAGTATTTCCACGTCAGTTTGAAATAATCCAGGAACTGGTTGTCATTCGATACCCGCCAAGCATGCAAAGATGCAATCAAAGCCTCGCAATGAGGCCACCACAATTTCATGTTCCATTCCAATGGCTCCGGATCGAATCCCCGACAATCAAGAAAATAGAAAAGACCGCCGCATGTTTTATCCCACCCAATTTCGAAGAAGTTTTTGATGCAAACTTCCAATGCCAGTTTATGAAGCTCGCTGTCAGTTTTTCCAAAATTTTCCAGGTAATCAAGAAGAAACCAGCCTAGTTCGATGGCATGCCCGGGGTTGATGACGTTGCCTTCCATATTTTCAATTTGCTCTCCGTCCGATCCCACATTTTCGACTATCACTTGCTTTTGAAAATGATCACTCCACTTCTGAAAAATACGGTGTCACAGTTACATTATATTCTGTCTGCATTTAGCATGTCAAATTTTTAAAACTAAGTTGTAGATGAATTATTCATTCAAAAAAACTAGCCAAATATGCTGAGTCAGAAACTTTCCAGTTTTAAAATTGTGGTCAAAATATTGTCATGAAAAAAGCTCGCTTCACTTTACGAAACAAAAACTATAATTGGGTTAATTTATTTGTCATAAAACTTCAAATTTGGCCATTTTTTGAATTTTCCACCTGAAATTAGTGAGAGGGGAAGTGTTATGAAATAACCAACAAATTATTTGGTTGAAAATGACTGAATATTTTCTGAATAGCGGCCTCAATTTTATTAAATGACTTGAGATCTCTGCCCGGGTTGACGACCATACAAAAAAAACGCTTGTTATACAGTTTCATATATTGTGTCTATGAAAAATGCATGGAAGAAAAATGTATGATAATCATTTTTTTTTCAATCAAATTTTTTGTTCTCAATATTATCCTAATTTGGTTTAAAAGCCATACAATACAAACCAGTGGCAGTTTTAATTGCAGGAAAGCAACTTTGGCATCAAAAAAAAATTTAACCAAAATAATGTTCATCATACAACTTCATATATGAAAATTGTATGATAGACCTTTTTTCCATAGAAAAAATACAACTTGATGTGAAAAATGTTTCATCTTTTTTGTTTGATTGAAAACTCGCTTCTGTGCGCAAATAAAAAAAATTACGAAAAAATTTTTGCTCGCATGATTTGATATTTTGAGTCTATAACATAGTCCAGGTTGAGTTTTCACCCAAAAACTCAATACATGACAAGCGAATGTTTTTTTTTAAAAACACAATTATGATTTTTATATTCCATAAGCTAAAATTATCTTCGTTGAAAAGCCTCTTTTAAATCACCAAAATTTTCAAAACCAAAACTTTCTGGCCATATACAAAAAATACTATAATTTGGTTTATAAATTTAGTGAACTTGTTTACATTAAATCACATGGTTAAAATCACCAAACGCAATTTGTTTCCGTGGTAAATGCCACTTACACATAAGGTTTTCTTAAGATAGAATACCTTGGTTAGTGTCTTTAGGATGAAACACAAATTTTAAAATCAAAAAACGTATATAGATACTTCATAGCCAAGATCATCTGTGAAACTTGCACAACAAAAAAATACACTTGGAAAAAAATACATCCTAAGAATTGCCGTTATAGTAAAGTATTTAATAGGTTTAAAGTTGTTTCAAGGAAGATTAAACCGTTGAGTTTGCAATGATTGGCTGTTAACTTTGCAACCTACAAAAAAGAAATGAAAAAGAATCTAAGAAAATTTTACAGAAAATCAAGCTACTGCAAAAAAGTGTATGGTGTGACATAGATTGAGGAACCACTTTGAATCAGATATCTATCTAATTGTTTTAATTCTTGCGCTTGCTTTTAACATCGATTGTAAAAAAAAAACAAAGATAGCCGGCTGTTGTGCAAGTAGCACAGAATATTTCAACCTCATTCATAATAAAAATTTAAGAAGACTTTTTTTCCTACCTTTCGACTTCGTGTTGCTTATGTTGTTTATTTTGAGATATATTTTTAGAAGCTTCAATTTGCAGCCTTCGTAGAAAATAAGTGAATAATTCATGCTCAACAGCACAGTTGTCTTCAAAACTGAAAAACAAACAAAAAGAAACACTTCACTAAGTAACCTACCTTCAAGTCAACAACCACAGCACCAACAACATCAACAAGATTAACTTTGACTAAAAACACTTTAATTCAATTTCGAATAACGATTAAAAACGATGGTTGCTTGAAGCTTTTAGGAATTTCGAACCGGATATCATACCCTAAAGTTTTACATTTTTAGGGTAATTATCCAACTTTTGAATGGTAATTACAAGTTGACGAAATTCATCTGGGCAACAATAATTCACAACCCATTGGGGGAGAAAGGATATATATGCGCCAAATTTTCATACTAAACAAAGATGGTGGTATATCAGGGCTAAAACCTAAATTTTCCGACTACCCCTTAATCGGAAGCGGATAGTTGTTGCGCAGAAAAAATTTCAAAAAATATAAATATTGGACAACATCAAACGACACCTTTAAAAACGCTTTAGTTCACGATTAAAAACAATGGTTGCTTGAAACTTTAGTACCTTCAACGCCTAATATTTCCTTTTAGGAATTTTAAACCGAATATCATACCATAAAGTTATACATTTTTAGGGTAATTATCCAACTTTTGAATGGTAATTACAAGTTGACGAAATTTATCTGGGCAACAATAATTCACAACCCATTGGGGGAGAAAGGATATATATGCGCCAAATTTTCATACTAAACAAAGATGGTGGTATATCAGGGCTAAAACCTAAATTTTCCGACTACCCCTTAATCGGAAGCGGATAGTTGTTGCGCAGAAAAAATTTCAAAAAATATAAATATTGGACAACATCAAACGACACCTTTAAAAACGCTTTAGTTCACGATTAAAAACAATGGTTGCTTGAAACTTTAGTACCTTCAACGCCTAATATTTCCTTTTAGGAATTTTAAACCGAATATCATACCATAAAGTTATACATTTTTAGGGTAATTATCCAACTTTTGAATGGTAATTACAAGTTGACGAAATTTATCTGGGCAACAATAATTCACAACCCATTGGGGGAGAAAGGATATATATGCGCCAAATTTTCATACTAAACAAAGATGGTGGTATATCAGGGCTAAAACCTAAATTTTCCGACTACCCCTTAATCGGAAGCGGATAGTTGTTGCGCAGAAAAAATTTCAAAAAATATAAATATTGGACAACATCAAACGACACCTTTAAAAACGCTTTAGTTCACGATTAAAAACAATGGTTGCTTGAAACTTTAGTACCTTCAACGCCTAATATTTCCTTTTAGGAATTTTAAACCGAATATCATACCATAAAGTTATACATTTTTAGGGTAATTATCCAACTTTTGAATGGTAATTACAAGTTGACGAAATTTATCTGGGCAACAATAATTCACAACCCATTGGGGGAGAAAGGATATATATGCGCCAAACTTTCATACTAAACAAAACTGGTGGTATATCAGGGCTAAAACCTAAATTTTCCGACTACCCCTTAATCGGAAGCGGATAGTTGTTGCGCAGAAAAATTTTCAAAAAATGTAAATATTGGACAACATCAAACGACACGTTTAAAAAATTGAGCATTACGATTTATGACCTAAATTCAATTTGGAAGGATATTTCAGGATGGGATTAATCATCACGCATAAACAAACCGCCCTACTGTATCATCATGATAAATAAAATCTTCGTAACGTGCATAAATTTGTCACGAGCATAGCCAAATTGAAATTTTTCCAAGCCCCCAGGTTTTTACAAAAACAACAAACAATGGTAAAATAGCTTTTAAAGTGGGATAACTTCAATGAGGTATAAAGTTTTTTGGTAAAACAATTATTGCAATCGCCGAACTTTGAAAGAGTAAAAAACCACCCCAAGTATAAGTTTTTTGACAACAAGTAAACTTTTTTCGAAAGTCGAAACAATAAAATATTTTTGCATTCTTAAGAAAAACGGAGACAGAAAAAAAAAACATCAATGGCAGAACTTGGAACAAATTTAACAAGGCAAACTACTGTACTCAACTGTTATAGATCCTTTGCCTTAATTTTCGTCCTAAAATTTTCATGTAAGTTCAATTTGCAAGAAATTTACTTGTGAGTTTTTAGGATAAAAATTTGGGTCCCGAAATTTTGCTACTAAACATAAAACAGTAGTAGTGTTTACCATTTTTGTAACCTCGGATCGGTATAACATTTTTTTTGTATTAAACTGGAAAATTATCTTTGCTTTATAATTGATGACAAACAAATTAATACATCTGAGAACATTGTTTTAGATTTTACTTCAATTTATAACTCAGCTATCTATTTATTTTACACCGTTTTCCGAGGGATACATTGGCCCAATGATGGAACTATTGTCGCTTAAATCCGAAACACGAGATGAAACTTCGTCTAGCAACGTCTGATGTTGCTTTTTGAGAGCATCGATATACGCCGAGTACTTCCATGACGTAACATTATCACCTTGCGACATTATTATGTCATCCATTACGTTACTCGCCGCGAATCCCTCCTGTCCACCGTCGCTGGTGGAGCTCCCGGTTCCCCCCGCTGCGTCCAGACCTTTCTGGAACGCTTTTTTCTGTCTAATTTTCTGCCGGTCCGATTTCTTATCCAGCTTTGAGTCAATTTTGTTCGCGCTTTTCATCTTGTGTCTGAATCTGCAGAATTCAGTCCAGTGCGGATACAACACCCTGAATACGGTCAGTTGTGCTTCACGAAACATGTAAGCGGTCGGTTTCTTTCTTTTATCCAGAATATCCTGAACTTGTTCAGGTGGTAAATCAACTTGGACAGCCGGATGGATGATGGACTCCAGGAAACATGCAACAATCATCTGGACTTTAGCCAGGGCGAGATTGTCGTCGGCATGCGGCTGGAACAAGTCTTTGAACTTCTGGACCTCCTGCCAGAAAATGATATCGTTTTCCAGATAGTTTTCTTTTGTCACTATTCTCACGTATTTCTTAAACTGTTCTGAAGTTACAGGGTTCAAAAGAGCTCTTCTAAACTGAATCACTTCTTTAGAAGATGAAACCCATTTGCTCTCCATGATTTTACTCAACTGAAGTTGTTTTCTCTTCTTCTGCATTATTACATCGTCGGTCGCGTCTCCGTTTTTCTCTCGGCTAACCTGGCGAGTCGCGAAGGCCGGCGTCGCAAGAAACATCGCCAACCATTTCCTCTCCAGTCGCGCTCTCGTGTAATGACCAACTTCGGTTATCATTACATTCGGCGGTCGCTCAGGTACGATTTGTTTGCCCCATCCTCCGGCTAACGCCAGAACCATCTCTTGCTCTTTAGTCGTAGCTGGCGAATTAGGTCCAAAAAAGTACTTCTTGTTCAAGTACTTCGATTTTATTTCTGTCGCCTTAGTGTCGCGAATTTCTTCTTCCTCGTGCGACATTCGTTTAAAACCTTCGATATCGACCCAGCACGCCAAATCAGTCGTGCCGTAATTCTCGGCAATGAATCTTCGGTAACACTCGAACTCGATTCGGTTCTTAAGCAAGTCGTCAAACTTCCACCATCTGAACTCCTCAGGAACTTCGAACTCCAGCTTCTTGTACAGTTCTTCACGCTCCTTTTCTTCGTCGATTTCTTCTTCTTGGTCCTCGACGTCCATGTGAACCTTCACGACTCCTTGTTTGTTCAGGAACTTCAGGTATTCGGGGTCAATGTCCAAAGGTCGTTTGACTGAATATTGTTCTACTTTTTTGTACTCATAATCCTCAACTTCAAGCATTTTCAACCAGGGTTCTCTTAGTTTCTGGAGAGAAAACTCCTCTGCAGAATCAAAAAGTTCTTCGGTGGGGTTTGTAATTTGACCCGAAACGGTTCTCCGAACTTCAGATGAACAATTGATTGACTTCGGAGCAGTAAGCACAATATAAAGGGCGAAAATTGCTTTAGCTTTGCGCAAAATATCTTCCGTGCTAATGCAATCTTTATAAAACAGCGAGTGATAATTTTGCAAATCATTCCAGAATGCGAGACAATTGATCCAATTTTTGTTACTACTGTTCTGAAGAAAGTTTCTAAAAACTCCCCCCGACGTGTTGAACTCGTTCTTTAGAGTCTGCAGCAAAGTTTCCATTTTTGCACTGCCAATAAAATTCCTGAAGTCGCGAACTGAGCTCCCATACGACTGCAAAGATTCGGTATCTTCGTCGCTTAGATCTTCGAACCGGATTTCTCCCGACTTCCGAGCGCTACTAGCCATTCGAGATGAAACTTTTCCAGTCGTCGGACGGGATGATTTAGCCGAGAAGCCTAGACCCGAGTCGGGTGCGTAACCCGAGATGGATTCGTTTTCGGACAAGTCGTCACCTTGGTCTCCGTTGTCGTCAAAAATTTCCAGATCGTCAACAAAAGAAGTTGTCAAAGTGCCAAAACCCGACTCCATATCTCGTCGCGAAGGTTGAGCCGACTTAGTTCGGGTCGACGACGGCGGTGGTTCTCTGTTCTCTTTCGCGGTGTTTTGCGCAACAACAGCAGCCGATTTAGCCCGATTTCGTTTCTCCGGAACTTCAAGAGGTCCCGTAATGTTCTCGTAATCTGCCGAGATGTCAATCGACGGGAGGCAAGTGCGTGGTCGGAGCGGAATGGCCGAAGGAGTCTTTGGTTCCGGATAGCTCAGAACTTGTGCAGACTTCGTAACTTTGTGATGATTAGAGTAGGCAACGTTTTCGCTCAAAACTTTTGAAAACTTTTGTTTCTTTTCATTGAGATACTTAGGCACCCAGTAGTTAACTAGCGGCGTGATAACCTTATTTTGAAGCTCTCGAACTTGAGGTTTGGTGAATGACGTAATATGTCGCAAGTTGTTCATTGTCCGGAAAGTGTTCGGCAGAACGTGCGGACTGCTAATTGAGCAATATTTGTCCTTTATTTCAATCAAAGAGCTTTTTAAATCTTGTTCGCTGTCAGTGAAATTGCATTTATCTAACTGAAGCCAGAAATCAAACATTTGAAGACCAGGCGTGTTTTGGAGGAATTTGACAAAACCATCAAAATCCTCAACTCCTTTGAAGAATAAATCGGGTTTGGATTTTGTGCGTCTTTTTTGTTTAGATTTTTCCTTGCCTGCGCTTTTGTCACTTTTCGTGTCCTGAGAGCTTCCGGCTTTGCTGTCGTGAATAATAGCTTCGTTCAATCTTGGACTCGACGCTGCAGAATCTTCTTCATCGTCTTCAATTTCATTGGCTTCCTCTTGGACCGTTCGGTTTTCACGGAGCATTCCCACCTTCGTTTCCGATTCGTCAATTTGGCAGATATATCCCGACCGTGGCCGATTGACTACCGGATCCGAAGCTGTTAGATCCGATTCTTGTTCGGGTTTTACATCGCTTTCGGATGGCATCGGCGTAGACCGGTCGCTTTCTAATGCCAGAGTCGGAGTCTCAGTAATAACGTCTGGCTTCTCTTGGGATTCTCGGCGTCTCGTTAGTCTGGATCCGGGACGGACGATTCCCGAAGAAGCACTGGTTGGTCGTTTGGGCGCTGGTCCGTATATTTTTTCCTGCTTTTCTTGGGCTTTTTTCAAATGTTTGTACCATTCCCTCAAGTCTTCCGAAGGAGTATCGCCGACTGAAACTTTTAAAATTTCGATCTCGTCCTGACCAGGTAACGTCGGATCGGCGGCTTTTCTCAGTTTCGCGACCGCCGCCAAAGCTTCTGTTTGTTTTTGCTCCCTCATAATTTGTTCCTCTCTCGCTTTTTCCTCTTTTTCTCTCTGTTCTTTTTCGATTTTGTCTCTAATTTGGGCTCTTTTACCTCTAGCTGACATTATAGAACGAGGAGTTTGAAGCGGATCTGCGTCGACTATTTTTACCCGCTTCGGAGTTCCGACCGAGACTTGGTTGAGTATTTTTAGGATTCGGTACTGGCTGTATAAAGTACTCGTGAGGAAACGAGGCATCTTCGTCTCTCGCGTCCAGTGCAGTCCCTGTTCGGTGTTGAGACACTGGACGTCGTAAGTCGTAACCAGTTCGTTTTTGCTCGGCTCATCAGGGTGAATAAAGTTTCTAAACATTAATTACCCTGTGCTGAACGGTTGTTGATAATAAAATCTACACGAACCCGACATCATGTTCTAAATTTTTAACCCGTTTTAGCACAAACAAGTGAATTGTTTTTGCTCAATTTTGAGTAGTCGACAAAAGAGTGTTCTGAAAGCATATTAAGTCGGAGTGAACAAATTTTAAAGACTGGCAAGTTGCACCTAAAAACGTTTAATTTTTGTCATTTTTCAATATCTACCTAAAATAGACCCAAAAAAGTTGTATCTTTTTTTCTTCTTCAAACTTGCAAAGAAAAAATCACTTGACCTGACAGGTGCAATTTAGTCTTTAAAGCAGCTTTGAAAATCAATTAAAGTGTCTAAGGTTGTCTTAGATAGAACCAATTATATGAAGAAAAAAATTTTCTTTGTATTTACTTTTATCTCACATGAGTTTAACACTCTGTTTTTAAAAAGGCTGACCGAAATAGAATGGCGCCGTTGAATTTTTGAAACACAATTGAAACGTCAATTTTATTTCGTTTTGCGCAATTTGACTGCTCAATTTGGAAACAATTTAGTCTCAAAATTTTGGACTCATGTTCTGATTCTAAGTTTTCGGGCAAAATGAAAACAAAAATTAATGTTCCGAAATCATACCTGAAGTAGTCCTGGGTGGAGACCGCGACCTGTCTTACTGGCAAGAATGAAACATCCGGCTTCTTCACTTTGGCAGCCGCCTTCTCAATCGTCTTCATCAAATTCTCCTGTGCGTCATCGATCAACTCAAACGCACAATCAGTCGCGTTGAATCGGTATTTCTCTTTGAAGGTCGGCAACGACAGGTATTTGTTCAGCTGTGAAACGAATAGCTCGTCAGTGGCCAGGTAGTCTTCCAGTCGGTCCTCGTGGATTTCGGGAGGGACTATATTGATAACCGTCTCCATTTCAATTTAATTAAAACAAATTTAGTAGAAGTTGAATAACATTATTGCTTTTTGATATCGACAAAAAGACAACTAAAAATCTACTAAAGGCTCTGGAAAATGTTTGGAAAAATATTCTGATTAGAAACTAGAGCGTATTTTGATTCTTTTTGATATCTTAAATAATGTAATACTTGACAATTTGTTAAAAGCTAGATATAATAAAAAAACGCTGTGATTTGGTAAAACGCACGTTTGCAATTTTATCCAATTTAATCTGAAAGTGTTCAATGGCTGGTTAATCTGATGTTTTTTCTTACCACCGCATGAAATCTTTTATGCTCCATTTTTCGTATTTGGCAGCTTTATGCATTTTTTATGACAACTCTGTTTTGAGACCAGCATTGTAAAATAATTTAGTGATCAGACCTTTATGTAAGTAGCTTGTACAGATAAGTAGATTTAAGGGCTTAGTTTTGTTTTTATGACACTAAGACCCTTAAAAATATGTGACCAAAAGTTTTTGAAAGCAAAAATTTATTTCATTTGTTCCGGCTTTCGACGAAAACGGAGTATTTATGCTTGGTCCTTGGTGTGCTTTTTTTTATTCAGTCAATTTTCGGCCAAACTAATAGTTTTAATCAAAATTTTTTAAAAATCCATTGAAGATATCGACTCCCTGAAATCAATTGCAAAAAATATTTTATCTCCAATTAATTTTTGCAAAGTTATGAGAGTTTGAAAACTGCCAATTTGGTCATGCTCTGGACTATGTTATGTGCGCTTTGAAGCTTTTATTCAAAATGCTGAAAACGTAGCCCCGATTATTAAAACGTAGCGAATCATCGCGCGCAATAAAATTGGACTAAGGCTAGCCAATCAGTTGCATTAATTTTGTACGACTCAAATTTTCACACCGGATCTTTGATATTGTTCGAAGTTTATTGTTTTACAACCTTTTCTTATCCCAAAAATTATTCGAAATGGATTATCAAGAGGCAGGCTTTGCCCTTTATATGAACAGGCTTCTTAACCCTGGTAAAAACTACGCTCAAAAACCGCTAAAAATCTGGGCAAGTTGAGCAGTTTTTGAGCAAGATTTGAGAAAATTGCGCCGCTATATGTTACAAAAATAGTTCTATCTATAAAGAAAAGCAAAAATTCTGGTGGTTTTTTTTTCATGGTAGAATTCGATTTTTCAAATATCTTTTAATGGCGGTATTTGTTCAAACGATATGAAATGTATTGATTTCAGGAGCTCAAAAATATGATTTTCTGTGATCATTTTTTGTGAAATACAGGCGTATTTAAAAATGCTAACTTGGCGAGTTCGGGACAGTTATCGCACAAAATAGTTCGTTCCCTTAACGCGTAAGCAGCGATTTAGTTCCTCTCAAAAAGGTTCCAAACGAAATTGAGGCAGACTATTCGTCCCTAGAAACGCTACAAAAAACTCAGTTAAGAACTATCAATAACAATCGTAAATTGAACATAGATATCGATATCAAATTAGTTTCAGCAAATAGTTACGTGAACAAAGCAATTATTTTAACAGTAATCTTTCAACGGAGGTTAAATAGAAATTAGAGAGAGAGTGTCGAACTAAAACGTGAATCCTTCACTATCGCTCACCGGTATCAGCTAGCAGTAATATTTCAGACTGCAAGATTAGCACCATGACTCTGAATATGGATACTGTTGTTAATTTCTGTGCTTGCAACTCTTCTTTTGTGTGGTCAATCGACCCTTTATTTTCCTGGTTAGTGGTTACTTCAACTTGAATACTATTTTTGAGTGACTTTGCTCCGTTACTTCGTAACCGGAACAGCGGCTGATGGCGAAACAGATGTAGGAAGAGTCTTTTTAGTGATTTTTGCTGATCTGTTCTTGGCATTTCCCGAAGCTATTGCCTCAAAAAGCTCCTGGATTGCCGGTGAGCTAACCTCAACCTGCCTCGCCTCTGGTAACACTTCTACCCCCTTTACTGAAGAACTCGCCGAAGACAAGGTAAGATTCACTATTGGTTCTTTCGCAGGACTAGTGACTGCCAAATCTATCAGCCGACTCTTCTTGAACTTCCTCCTTGATGAACCTGGTTACGTCCAATACGTATCGGCCTGACTCTTTAAATCTTTTGGTCGATGGTCCTGCTTCTAATTCCTCGGACGACGCTGAAACCGATGATAAAACGTCTCTGGTTAATATGTACATGTTTCGACTTAATATTCCCAGGCACTGGACTTGATGAGGCTACATTCAGCTGATTTGCTGCTGGTGTCAGTGGGCTTCCTTTCTTGCTATGATCTAAATCAGACAGATTATATCTAACTTTGTTCGGTTTTAACGCGATAAGATTGTTTCTTATCACTTTGCCTTTATCATTGATGTAAGAGTGATCTTCTGTTATTTTGACAATTTTCCCCTTGAAAAAATTGAATAACGGTCGTCCTGAGTAATGACCTATTACTTTACGGAACACATTCACTCTAATCGGATAATTGATGAGATCGAACTCTAGACTAATGAGATCTTACGACTCTTGTCCTTTTCGGTCCCGAATCTGAGGATTCCCTGGCTTAAGTCATTACTCGAGCTAGCTGCAAAATGTGGCACTCGCTTTGTCAGTCTCTTTAACGTTTCTGAGCCTTCTAACGGTGACAACTGTCGTTTCACGTGACTTCAATTCTCTAGCACTAGCATCTTCTTATCTTCTGATTGCCTTTTTCCGAACTTGGGTGGTGCATCTGATTCTCCTTTTGGTATCGCCTTGGATCTGTTTGTTCTCTCATTTCCTCCCAAGTTACATGTCTCTGACTGAATATTGACAATCTAATGCAGAGCTCTCGTTGAATATCGGAGAAATTCTTCCTGGCAACAAAAAAATGACGTCTTACTTCCTTTTTAATGACTTGTGTCCATCAGCATATCACCGTTTGTCCTCATAGACGAAGACAAAAAGCTTTGGGGTCTTCTTTATTGCCTCGATGAGCAATGTATCATTGAATTTATTCTACAATGTATTTTTTTCTCTCCTGAAGAGCAACTCACATAAATTATGAAAGTCTTTGAAGCTTAATGTATTCAAGTTTGTGTGAGGATTTTGCCGAGGGCGATGAAAGGTCTAGATTTAACCCGGTTGTCTGCTTCATGATAACACGTTTTTGAGCCGACTTTTGGTCCTTTTCTCCTCCTTTCAGTACAACTTTCTGTGACTCTCCGGATATCTTCTGTGTCTCGAGCTGTTCTGTTTCTAATTTCGTCTGCTGGTGACACTGACTCTGGTCTTGGAGATGGATCATCGAATACTGGGTCTGGCTCTATTAATAGAACAATCGGTCACAACAATCCTTGAGCGATTTTGCCAAGAAATATGGGCCAATCCCTGTTTCCCACGCGAACGGAGGTTCCGTCGATATTTTTCCCCAGAATAGTGTTACCCCTAAAAGATCAGTTCTATCATCAGACTGTAAGACTGCTGACTGCGCCATGGGATATCTCTAGAAACGTTACAAAAAACTCAGCTAAGAACTATCATTAACTATCATAATTTGTTCATGGATATGGATATCGAACTAGTTTTAGTAATATGTTTCGTAAATAAAACAATCATAACAACCGTAAACTTTCAACGGAGATCAGACAGAGAGTGAGAGAGAGTATCGAGCTAAAATGTGAATCATTGACTATCGTTGACAGGTGTCAGTTACCAGTAATAACTTAGACTGCAAGAATAGCACCATGGCCTTGGTTACGGATACTAATGTTATTTTAATGTTACTAATGCACAATCGATCATTATTTACTTTTTATTGATGACTCAAAAAATTTACTCACGTTTTTCTCATTTGATTTTTGTTCTATAAAAATGAAACAGTCGAAAAATTCAGCGATTCAACTTAAATTTGCTGTATCAATCAAATTTTTCTGCCTGTTATCCACCGAACATAGCTTTATAATAATTTCATGAAAATAAGCAAAAAAACTTTTGATTTCATTTTATCGGGTGGCCATCAAATCTCGCTTTCATAGTGTATCAATCCATTTTTTTTACTTTTATTGTTGCAGCCCTGTTTTACTTTGATCATGCGTTTTTTTTATGCCAAAAGTAACTTCAATATAAACAAATTATGTCTGAAGTTTTCCAATATATCTTATTATAATCCAAGATTACTAATAAAAAATATCTCATCTATAGGTTAACTTTTTATCTAATTCGTTTGGCTCGGCTTTGGATTTTGTAAAAGATGTCCTGGTTACAAAAACAATCTGAATATTTTCGTGTTTCCGATGAACTTCCATGGAAAAATCCGGTGAAGAATGATTTTTGTCCTTTATCTACTATAAAAAAACAAGCAGACGAGTCTGATCAAGAAAAACAAGCTAAATGTTAAGCGATTAGAAAAACAGACAATTGGAAAAAAAACAAACAAACAGACAAACAAACAAACAATCATTATAAAATGCAAAATTTTGCGGGTAATTGTGAAAACAAATGCAGTCTGGCGGGAAAACTGGACAATTAGGCGGCAAGCATTTTGTTTAAACCTTACCATGCCTGATTTCCGTTAAATTGTTATCTCAGTTAAACTCATCTTGGGTGGAATCCCTCATAGGCGAAGGACCGAATGGGTGAAAGCATAAATCAGCCAATCAAATTTCAGTATTCCAAAATTTGAAACGAAAGCGTCAAAATCTCAAAGAAAGTAAACCTTTCCATGGACTTAATAATAATTTTGGCCGAATAAAGAAACGGCAGCATTACGACGCCAAACTGTGCACTAGATAGGCGCACAGTTTTGTGTCTGTATGTTCCTGGATTCCAGGGACAAATCATAAAACATGTTGAAATTTTGGCGGAACGATCAAAGAAAAAAAAGAACAAAGGGAGCCTCCTGGTTGCGGAATTCGCTTACAACTCACAAAATTTACAGTTTGGCCTCGTAATGAGAATTATCAGATTGAAATATTCAGATTGTCCTTGACCGCCGGCGAATAGGAAGAAATTTTATATTTGATCTGTTTTGATACAAAATAAGCAAAACATTGCTTCAATTAAATTCTTTAAATTCTTCTAGTTGAACAGCAATTCATTCTTTTTAATAAATGACTTTCGACTGTTTATGTTTTCGCCCCTGTTTAAGTTCTGTCATTAGAATCGATTAGCGACGCAACCTTAGGGATTTTGAACCCAATATAAACTATTATATTCGAAAAAAGCCATTTTTGTTCATACTCTTGCATTTTTGTTCATAATATCAATTCAAATTGAACAAATTTCGCAGATGCGAAATGTTTATTCAATTTTTTAAAATCTTTCTGCAAACCTTGAAGCAAACACAACTCAAACAAATCCTACTCACCACGTCCACCCTTACCTAGTAAACCAACCCCCGCCCACTACGTTACGCCTCCCCCCGTCTCCATTTATGCCCCCCTACGTCCCCCCACCACGCGCTTCCACACTGCGTCATCTATTTACCGCAACCTCTGTACAATGGATGAGGGGCATTTTTTTTTTAAAAAAAGTTCATTCAAGGAAAAAGAAAACAAGAGAGACAACAATTTATTGCGAGAAAAAATATAACTAACTTAGGTTTAGTATAATTATGAAAAAATAAAAAATGTTCTAAAAAACAGATAAATAATGCAATTATTACTCATAGCCCTTTTAATAGAATAAAAGCGATTAAGTTTCACTAAAAAGCGATGAAATAAACTGAAGAAAAAATCAATTATCAGCGAATAAGAATGCATTTTCTTGCCCTAAAAATAAGGTAATTATAATTCCTGGTAATCAGTTATGGTCATAAGATTTCAAATTTTAGAAAGACACACTATAATGTCCAATATCATTGTTCAATAATAAAAAAATTTCAGTGCGATGACATTCGCTAAAGCAAAACTATCAAGGACAGGACAAATAGAGCCATCTTTTAAAATACAATTTAGTTATGCAGAAAAAGTAAAAATTATGCAATTTTGCTGAACAAGGCAAATATCTAAAAATCACCAAGACTTGATCTATTATTTTTTCACAAATCCGGTTTAGATATATGCACTAGCCCATACTAACTGGTTCATGTAGTTATTGTTCCTACCATTGAAAATGGGGAAGAACTTTGCATTCGGATGTGTTTTAGTTTTTTTGTTTTACACGCAAAATCAGGTGCCACAATAAATCACCGGAATGGGTCGAAAAGTATATCACTTTCACACCTTTTCAGTAGTGATTATATAAAACTTAGAAAATCAAAATTTTCGGTGTTGAGAAAAACCCGTGTGAGTTTTGATCTAATTTCGAGCAAATAAAAAAGCGCGAATAGGTTTTTTGTTTTTCGAGCAAAAACAGTTATCACGAGTAAGCATCAAAATGGTTGAAGTGATATATATTATAATCCCTTCAGCCCTGAAAAGATTCCCGAACGAAATTAAACTAATAACTTCTTCTAAACTTTTGAGTTTAACCTCAATGTTGAGCAAGTTAAGCGAGCGAGCAGGCTTATTTTCGAAGGAAACAAAGTTAAACTTCACTTTAAGATTGTAAAAAAATATATTTTTTTTTGCGCTGGAACAAAAAAACTTCAAAAGTTCAAAAACAATCTGCAGACAAACTGATTTTTTATAATTGTTTTTGAACTTTTTCATGTTTTTTTTGTTTTTCTTTTCATTTTTTGACAAAAAAAAATGTTGCCCAATTGCCAAATTTACTGTGGCTGTCGTATGAGGCTTTCGTCATATCTAGCCACGCACAGAAGACGTGAAATGTGAAAATGTGAAAAAAAATGAAAAAATCTAATGTATTTTTCAGAGTTATGGTTGGAACAGTCTGTGCTATTTGTCCAGCAACCTGCCATCTTTGTTTTCGATGTACTCTACTTACTGAATGTTGTTTGATTTCCTCAACTGCAGTTTCTGCTACCCGACTGATCTCTTCCAAATCGGCATTCAGTTGCAGGCTGCTTTGCTTCACTTTCGCCGCCTCAATGCACAGACTGAGAATCATCATCTTGACAGATAGAGCTCCTCGGATGTATTGGGGTCCCAACGTCTCAACTGGAAGTCCTAGCGCCTCGCCCGTACCACGTGACCAGGTTTCCAGTGTGGCCAGAAGAGTCATTGCTCTGTCCTAAACTTTGTCTAATTTTTTGTGTTGACCAAAAAAATTACTAATAATAACAAAAAGACAAATTTCTATTAATGATATGAAGTATCAATTTGCAATAATAAAAAACCATTTTGAGATCAAATTTGAATAACGTGAGGAAAGTTGGTTTGATAAACGAATGAGCTTGGATTTTTTAGTCATTTTAATTATAAGTTATTTTTGCCACGGAAAAAATTTTTTATTACCACGGAAAAAATTAAGCTTCGAAAAAATTTTCCTGAAACAAAAAAAAAAAACATTTTTTTTCCAGCTTTTACAACATTTGTCTTCGTTTCTTCTATATAACACAAAAGCGAATTGTGCTTGCCCGAAACTAGGCTGAAAAGCGAAATCTGAAAGCGGTTTTCCTCAACAGAATTTTTTTTTGAAATTTTTGTTGAATTACGACTTTAAGGGCTTCGTGGTACCCGATTGTTTAATTAAATCCCAAAACAGAATTCCTCCCGACTTTCAGTGGTCGGAGAAAATAAACCTAACATCAAATCCACAGTTTCACTTTTCCTGGATATAGTACCCGCATTTAAGAAAAATGAAAAAAAATCTGTTATAATGGATGAAAAAAGGATTTTGTTGCCTCGAAAAATAGTTATATTATAATCCAATTTTAATTGAATATAATCGATTTGTTTTCACTTTTGTGGACACTGACAAGGAAACTCAATTATAATCGATTTTTATTGATGGAACTCCAATGCGGGTATATTGTTTCCTTTAACATCGACGAACATTTTTGCACGATGAACTAAGTAGCGATATGGATGAGCCAAAATCATAAAATAAATATCTGAACGACTAGGAAGACAATTTAATTGTTAAAAATGTCTGGATTTTTCGAGACATGCATATGAAGATTTTGTTGATTTGGATAGGGTAAATTTGATGCGCTAAAATCTTGACTAAATGCGCTAAAAAATGTAAATAACGGCATGTAGTAAATAACACCAAAAAATAGCATGTAGTTCTTAAACAGGGGCACAACAGCGGTTCACCATGATGAGCTGTACAGCTATTGTGTTGGTCCTTTTCCCGGATGATAAATGGTCTTAATCTTAATGTAATAGTTATTATCCAGCGTGTGTTTGCTATTGTGACCTTGATAGAAAAGCGACTATGTGATATGTGGGATGTCGATTTGATATCAGTTGTTTGCTTTATAGTCGCTGTTCAACTTGAAATTTACCAACAAATTAATTCTTCTAGACTTTCAGTTTTCTAACCGCGAAAAAAGAACTTGGAGAGGAAGTAAGAATTGCACATGCGTGGTGTGAACCTACCAGATATTTCTGCTCCTTTGTAGCCCTGGTCATGCCCAGTAGAGCCAGACAGTAGAACACTTCCCCGAACAGTTTCCTCTGGATTGAGAGTGGTTGAGTGCCATCGGCTGACACGGAGAAAAACATGCGTCCAGATCCGTCTTTCACCAGCATGTGGGTCTCGATAAAGGTCAAAGCTGGAAAAGAAATCTTGTTTTATTTGATGATCACTGACGAGTTTTGCGACGAGTCATGAAAAAATTTCTAAGTCATAGACAAATAATTTTTTTTCAAAAGTGTGCATGGCAATTTTCCTTCTTTTCATACAGCTAAATAAGATCTAAGTTACATCTTTGGAAGAAAAAGAAAACTAAAGTGAGTTATTTAAAAATCAATCATTATAAATGACATGAAATTAAATTATTGCAAAACTCTGAGAAGGCTGGAACAAATTGCTTCATTTCAACTTGAAGTTTTTAAAAAAAAAGGTTCTGAAATAGCCAAAATCATTCTAAAAAAATTACTTCAAAAATATCTCTGAGAAAATATATAATCTCTACATTTAAAAGGTATGCGAAAACGCCATCAAGCTATGTCAGTAATATATTAGATATGGCTCTCGTTCAATCACCATCTACCAACAATTACTCTCCTCCCAACGCCCCCTCGGTGGTATACAAACTAGCCGAAGTAACAACAAGCCGAAGTAAAAACAAACCGAAGTAACAAGCCGAAAAAAACGTAATTTTCATATAATAGTTATCTAACAATTTTGTAACGGTTACAAAACTTAAGCAACTTCATTCATATACTCGCTGGGTTACATACTCGCGCATTTTCGGTTGGTTTAAACTTCGGCTGGTTTATTTACTCTCGCCCCCTCCCTCTCTTTTACCCGAAATAGCTGTACTGAGAATCTCTTCAGTTCTGTATTGAGTGTGGTCACAGTATAACTGACACAGTGTCCATACTGCCCTGCCCATGAGCCATGAGTTCTTCCTCCCATCGTAGACTCCGCCCACTTCATCCAGCATATTGAACAGTCCCCTGGAAAGAGACTTTTGGAAGCCAGCTTGAAAAATTATTGGTTTGAAAAAGAAACCAGACGGGGAAATCCAACATAGAGTTCTTCTTGATGTTGAAACTTTCCCTAGTATATATCATGCTGATTGTGTAAAGCGAGTAGAAACGTTTAATGAAATTTATTTTCTGATCGGTTTTACCCATAATTCTTCTAAGTATAAGTCATCGGTTGGGCATAAAAACTCAAAAAAGGCGACCTGTCATAATGATCAAATCAAACGATTACCTGACAGAAATAATTTTTTGGTCACGTAACAATATAATTTTTTCACGTATAAAACTTCTTATGATTTTAAAGTCCGAATTATTCTGTTTTTGATTAACTTAAACTGCCTATATACTAGTATACTATGTGTTGAGTCTAAACAATAAGGACCTCTGATATTTGTTATCAGTGGTCACAAAGCTGGTCAAAAATTTCCTCCTCTTGTAACACTTCATTGTTGTGCCTTCTGAGTTTTTTTCACACTTCATCAAGTCGCCAGATTTTTGAGAAGAACGCCTTCTAATCTCAATTTTTAATGCATTCGAAAACTTGATGCGTTCTAAAACCTATGCATTCAGTTTTTAATGCATACTTTTAATACGCTAACAAAAAAAATCGTTCAAAGCAAAAATGACTCAGAGAACCTAATTTTTTATGCTTACATAAATGAAACAACTTTTTAAAAAACAATTTAGCAAATTTAAGCGAAAATAACTATTTTTGACTAAGACACAATGCGTAACAAAACTTTTTTCGATAACTTGAAAAAAATCGAAAAAAAAATGTTTGTTATGATGGTGGTTATTTATGGTTTTACCCGAACTGGAGTTTCATGGGAAATAATAATCGATTATATGGATTATATCGGCAAAAAAATTAACCCATATAACCAATTTTTATGACCCATCCGAACATGAAAATGGATTTTTAGGGGACTATTACGAGTCCAAACTGTGCACTCTGTGCTTTGTAAATGGATTCCGCAACAGGCTAAAATCAGATGGTCTTCTTTGCTGTTTTGGTCTTCTTTGCTGTTTTGGATTCCACAAACAAATACTTCCAACATTGTACCGCTCAAAATTGCTCCAAAAATAGGCAAATTTGTGGAATCCACAACTGTATTTGCGGAATCCAGAACAGCTTGGGGAATCCTTAAACAAATAATACGACATGTGCATGGTTACGTTGAGCTGTTGCGTAGTCCGCACCTATGAGCGGAATCCGCAAATTGTAAGTGGAATCCGCAAATTGTAGGTGGATTCCGCATTTTGTTTGCGGATTCCGTTTACATATATGTATGTATGTAGTTGCGTTTAAAATTATATTTTTTATTTGCATGATTTGATTTCACTAGAATAGGATTTTATTAGATCAGTGTTTGGTTATAATGGAATCCCAAATACTGAACTAATTCGATGGTTTGCTATGCGCTGGGTTTCCAATCATTCTCAACCTAATGACTCCAAATAATGAATTCATTCCATATTTATTACATTTTTTTCTGTGGATTCTACTTACATTTTGCGGATTCCACTTACAATTTGTGGAATATACTTGCAATTGCAGAATCCAGAACAACTAGCTATATTCACTTGTTGCGGATTCCGCAACAAAAAAACTGTGCCGACAAAATTCACGTTACAGCTTTTTGTTCGCGAAATCCACAAAAATTTTGTAAGTGGAACCCACTTACTTTTTGGAACATATTTAAAGATTTGTCTCTAGAATCCAGAAACATACAGACTTAAAATTGTGCGTCTATCCACTGCCCAGTTTAGCCTCGAAAAGATTCTAATCGATTATTTTCAATATTTAAAAATCCATTTTAATCCATAATTTTGACAATATCATGATTTTTTGAGGGCAGAAAAATCCATGAAAACTGTTTACAGCTAATTAAACTCTTGAAGCATTTGAATAAGAAAGTTGTAGAATTGCATCAAAAATATACCAACTTGTTAAAAATGCAAATTTAGAACCCGAAAAAACATGTTGATCTATAGAAAAAAACTCAAAAAAAATTGTACTCCCTTCTCCACCCATCCCCCATTCCAAGTTTAGCACCCCCACCCATAATTTATCTCACCACATTTTACCCCCACCACCTCTACTACCCGACCACCTAACCTGCCTTCACCACCTCATCTACCCCCCCCCCCCCCCCCCCCCACAGACACACACAAGCACACGCACACCCCCAGGTTTCGACCTCCTCCACTCCCAAACCCCGCCACTCCCCCCTCCCGCCTGTTAAAACCGATTGTTTTGTATCATATTGATATGAAAAATTTTATCATTATATTTTATTGGGAGAGTAAAAAATGTATGAAATGCACTATAACCCATTGTTTTGACAATGTAATTGATTTTTTAGGGCGCAAAAGTTGGTGAAAATCAGTTTTTTTTCTGCAGAAAACTGTATAAGGCTTATTAAAATCTTAAATGTTTGAAACCTAAATGTATAAAGTCTTATTTAAAAAATTTGAGTTTTTTTTTAAAAATAATCATCTATAATCCCCTAAAAATCCATTTTCATGTTTGGCTGAGTCAAGAAAACCGATGTGGAGAGATGCTTGTGTGAATAAACAGTCCAGTTACCAGCAATCGCCCCCCCCCCACGCACACACGGTGGGGGGCAGTGGACGAATGGTAGTTTTTTTAGTATGGGAAAAAAATAACAGTTATAAAAAATTTTGAGCTGCTTAATTCAAAAAGTAGAAAAATTTAAATGTATAAACGCTTAGGTGAAAATTTTAAATTTAAGAAACGTAATCCGTAGCAACTGCACTAAACAGGAAGTGAGATAGCTTGTAAAATTTGCTAAATTTGCCAATAATTTTTCAAAATGTCCATTATAATTGATTATAATCTATTTCTAATGGATTATAACCTATTATAATTAATTATAATGAGTTTTTATTGATTTAAAAACTTTAGGATTATAATATCTTTTTAATGGATTCTAATCAATTACTTTTGCACTTTTGTGGATACTGACAACAAAATAACGGTTTTATTGATTATTATTCATGTAAATTCAGCGAGGGTAAGAAATGGTTTTGATATGGTTTCATGATACAATAATTTTTTCTAAACCAGGGAAGTCATTTCAAACCCCTTCCCCCCTCAATTCTGGCTGACGAATTTTTCCAAAGTTTTGTTTTAAATTAACGACATCCATTTTTGTCTGACCAGACTAAACATTCTTCTAAATGCGCCTTGAACGCCAATATAATTAATTTTAGGGGGGAGCGTGTGCCGAAAAAACAGCGAGTTTTTTGGTCAAAATTTTCCAAAAAAGGCCTAAAATTGCTTTTTGGCTTTTTTTAAAATCTTGCCTGCGGAGCAGAACATCTTTTTAATAATAGGGCCTTTTAGCATTTTCAGCAACTTGGCCGACCTTGGTCCAAAAAAGGGCCGACAAAAATCAACTTGATCGAAAAAAAAGGTGGCAAAATTTTAAAAATCGCCCCCCCCCTCAAGAGAAATTTCTGCGCACGCCTCTGCAGGATCAACTAAGACTCGCAAGAAACAGAAAAAAATCATAACAATCGGCGGACGCGTCAAAAATAAACATCAGATAATTTCGTGTTTGTTGAAGTTTGTTCCTGAAAAACGAACTGGTCACGTGTTAGTGGAAGAACAAAGAATAGTACTCAAATAATTTACCCATTTTTTGAATCAACCGCTTTGTGGAGCCAGAAACTCACGCACTTTGTGAGTTCATATTCAACCTCGGCAAGCACGCATTCCAAGTAGCTCACCTAAAAATTAAAAAAAAATTGTCATTTTAGTTAAGGTTAAATATAGTGAAATTTATTTACTTTAGTTACGAAGTGAAGATAGTTTATTTAGTGAAGATAGCTTTAGTTACAAAAAGGTATCTTCTCATCTTCTACATGGTATTAAAGTTTTAGTTGATATAATATAATTAGAAAATCCTTTTTTCAAACAATCGAATTAATTATAATTATATTTAAAAAATTATATATTTAATAGAATCAAAAAATTATATATTTAAAAAATCAAATTTTTCGGAGCAAAAAACGAAACTGAGCTGAAATAAGCCGTCAACTTATTCGGCAGACGGAAACAAAAAAGTTATTTTGCCCGCAAAGTTCTGTACAATGGAGATGTTTGAAACTTGCAAATGTTTCAAGATTTCATTTTTTGTATAGTTTTTGAAAAGTTTATTAGAAATCAACTTATGGGATTTTGCCGTCGGCGCATTTTGCCATTCTATAAGATTTTTTTTTGAGGCAAGGACGGTTTTTCCATAAATGTTGAAGGTTTCGTTTAATTTTTCAGTTCAATCAAATTGATTTCTGAAAAAAAACAGGCCCATGTGTTCTTGTAGAGCGCATCAGAGCTCAAAAAAGATATAGCGACAGTAATTTATACACTGTTTCTATAATCAGTCTCATATCTATACTTACTTCACTTTTGTGCAGATTATCAAACATGCTGTGTAATCTTTCGGATCACGTTGGTTGAAAGAACGCAGAGTGTAACTAAAAGACTAGAAAGTATAACACAAAAGCTAAAATTCAGTTAAATTAAATTGAGAGAGATATGGCGAAAAAAATCAATTATTTGGAAAAAAATTCAATGTTTGGGGAACAAATTACTATTTTTGAAAAATCGAAAATCAGTGCAGCTCAATTTATGAAATTTTATCTCAATTAATTGCGTAAAACATGAAAATAATTTTCATTTGAATCTCGCTATTATTAACCTGCCTACAGAAAGAAAAGAATAAACGACTATTTTGAGTTATCTTTGTTAAACATCAATTGACTCTTCACTGTCAAAATCATACTTTGTATCAAAATATGAGATAAATGAAGTAAAATCACAATTTGCTTCAAATATGAAGTCACTAAGAGAAATCAAAATTGCTTTGGTTTTGAAACTCAAGCCATAGTCTTTACTTGAAATTTACAGGCTGGGCAGAAAAATATGAGTAACAGAAAAGTTAATGCGAAAATCTTCACGAAAACCCTTTTTTTCTGCAACAAGGAACGTAAAAAGTTGTTTAGATTACAATAACCTGATAAAGAAACATGGCAGACAACTGAGTTGACCTGCATAAAACGTAGATGTCTGTATGAGGACGAACTGTGTACTGGATTGGATAGGCGCAAAATTTGATGCTTGTATGTCTCTGGAATCCAGAGACAAGTCTTTAAACAAGCTAAAATTTTGTCCCAACGATCAAAGAAAAGAAATAGAAAAAAACAAGAGAAAAAAACAAAGTGTCCTTGTTGCGGAATCCGCTTACAGTTCTCAAAATGTACCATGAGGGTCCTGAAACACCCAGTGCGCATCGCAATAGCTAAGTCACCGCTCAAATTCCCTATCAATATTTTCGGTGATATCAAACCGTTAATTGTTAAGTTGTTAAAGCTAATGAATCTTCTTTTTACAGGTTTCTGACTTCTTTGAGTGGGTTGCAAACTTGGTGAGTAGGTAGTACCAGATCTCCAAGTCTGATACTTTTGCTTCGCGCGATCCGGAAAAATTGTCAACAAAATTTCAGAAATCCACTCACGCAGTCTAATTTTCCAAGTAACTTTTTTTTCTGTCTTTTTTCTTGAAATTGTTTCTTTTTCTTCAATCAGAAACACGGAATCGCATTGTGCGTTGTAGCAGTAGAGCAAGGATTGTATTTTTCAGCCAATGGATCAATTTAAAAGCAGCATGACTTTTGAAAAAAAACTTCCACGAATCTCGCAATTTTCGACGAATTCGTATGAAATTTTTCTCACACGCGAAAAAGTTAGAATGTGATTCAGGAGCTTCAGCAATTACGAAACTTTTTTAAAAATCGATGTCAGCAATTTAAATCGATACCAGCGTGGGTCCCCAGTTAGTTCAAAATTGTAAAGGAAAAGGCTATGAATGGGATTCGGGATAGTTTAATTTAAATAGATTGCGGTAGAAAAAACTTAAGATAGGCAAATGTCATTATTTTATAATTCTCAAAGAAGACAAATAATAAACTACGGTTAGTTTCAAGGTTTTACTGAAACTTTCTTTTGAGAGCTAAAGTGTCAAAAAAGGCAATTTCTCAAAATAATAGCCTGAGCTTTTGATCTTCTTTTTATACGCGATCTAACAAACAAAATATGGAAAACTCTTAATATTTCATGCTCGTCAAATAGTAGGCAAAATACTAAGTTGAAGGTCATTTCCAGGCTTCACTGAAAAACGCCAGCGAAATAATTGATGCCTAAGCTTTCAAATCCTGTTGTTTTTTCAGTGGGAGTTGGTAGAGTTTAAATTTAATGGTTTTTCGTTTTTTTTTATTATTGCATTTATGCCACCTTATTTTCCGCCACCCTTACTTTCGAGCACGCTCAGCGCGCGGGTTCAGTCCATTTTTAACGATCCACCGCAAGATTTTAATGCACGGCTTTTTACCCGGAAAATGACTATCTGCAAAGTTAACGCGAAATTTTCCTCGTTTTTTCCCCATTTTGACTTCCTAAGCTAAGGAAAAGACAAAATTGGAATTTCATTTGTCTTTCACTTCCCTGGGAAACATCCAAACTTTTCCAAGGAGACCTGAGGAATTAAAGGAAAAATGAATTAGTTGCTGAAAAAATTTTATGCTTTGTAATTTAACTATCACCATAGCCGAGCGTATATTTTTTGGTCCCACAGGATGGATGGCTAGGTTCAAATCCCAATCGAAGAATTTTTTTTTGCTTATTTTATCTTTTCTCAGCTCGCTTATTTTCTAGAAGCGAAAAGTGTTTTGAAATGTTCATCTGATCACAAAGATCGTTAGTCGTGTGTATCTGACACGCATGCTTTGCTCGTTGGTCGCGGGGGAATGAAAATGATGGTTTTTTCTTTTAACACAACATATATTCCCATTTATTTACAACGAAATTTTTTATCTTCTTAACTAATAAAGTTGAGGACAAACGACTTTCAGTGATATCACGTATTTATTCTGTTTTTTTTTTATAAGAACCATTTCGAGACTGCTCAATGTGATGTTCAAGTTTTGTCTATCATTTCAGTGATTTTAAATTTGAACTGTTTCACTTTTGAGTGAGTCTTTAACAGAAACAGGTGGTGAATTGGTAGAGCATTTGAAAAAAATACCAGTGAAGGCAGTTCAAATCCCAGATGATCGAGCTGAAGGTTTTTCCCCTTTTTTCTTTTTTGATCGGTTTGAAACTACTGAATACATTTGAATTAAATTGTCTGCAATTTTCTTCGAAAGATTAAATGAGCACAAAAATATCGAGCTGTTACGCGTCCCCGCATGTGTTCACAGGAACAGGTCTACAGACCATTTTTCATTAGACATCTGTCTTCAAATGTTCATATCCTTAAACAGTTAAATGTTGCTCTTTGCTTATAGTTTTGTACATGTTGGAAAAATTATTAGCTTGAGTGACTGTTTAGCAGTGCTTCAGGGTTTTAATTCAGGTGAAAGTAAAGAAAAAAGGTTTAAAGCCCGTGAAGACATTTTTGAGGAGGATAAGCGAAGGGCTAAGAACACTGATTAGGTGTAGTTTTGAGTATTAGATATTCTTTCGATATATACAATAAGGCGTTATTAGTAAAACACTCAATCTATACAATATTGAAAGTAAGTTAGACTAAAATAGGCCTGTTTTAGGCAAGAAAGACCAATATAGTCCTGAAAACTTGAATTTTTTGATTTGATGAATTTTTAATTTTTTTTCACTTTGTTTTTCATTTTCAAGTTCGAAAGCGAAAAAGAGTTTCAAGACGTTAAATGATGAAGGAGTGACATGGAACCAAGCTAGTGGATTGCCATCTGGCTTTGACCATCTGGGACTAATGGACTCAGACACGGATTTTTCATTTCAGCATGCTGTGTACTCAGTTTCATTTCAGCATGCTGTAGTCTCATGGCACTTTTCATGTGTGTAAAATTGATGCTTTTTTCCTTTTTCAAAACCGTTCTGTTTGAAACTCCTTCCAATCCATCTTGCTACTACGACACCTGGCCACTAGAGATAAGGAACATTGGTGAAGTGATGCACTTAGGCTTTTTTTGGACAACATATGAGGGAATTTTGCTTTGACAAGAGTTACACGTAAAGGCGAAGTAGACAAAACCAACAGCCTACTAAATAGGGCAAAACGCCGAGGCCGGGGTGGCGACGGTAAACGAACCCGATTCTGTCGAAGGGGAACAAACAACCGTGACAACAAATCCGACCCCACAATCGTGGCGATTTTGAAGGATCTGGCTACGACTTGGAGCAGGAAAGAGTTGAAGGATCTGGGAGGACCTCGGAGCGTTCGGAGGTTAATGCCGGAGAGGAACTGCTATTCGAGGGCAAGTCTAGGCTAGGTCGAAGACCAAGAGTGATAGTCGGAGAAAGGAACAATCCTCTCTGGCAAAGCAGAGTGAGAACGAGATGATGTCGAGCATGAACCCCAGGGAGGAAGAATCATGTTCGAAAGCGAAAAAGAGTTTCTAGACGTTATATGATGAACGAATGACATCGCTCCAAGCTAGTGGATTGTCATCTGGCTTTGACAATCTGGGACTAATGGAATCGGACACGGATTTCATTCCTAGCCCGAAGAAGGAGAAGAACAAGAAAGCGATCTCCACTCTTTCACCATCAAGACCGTTCTCGGATGGAATAACGATAGGAACTTCCTCAGCGTTCGATAGGCTAATGACGTCGATGGGTACTTAGAGAGGTGGTGCATCATCGAGCACTAGGCTGCAAACTCAATTAACATCCTGGTCTCTAGGTCTGACCCCCGTATTGGGCGTGGACATTGATGTGAGAGGCATGTTTGCCAATGGGAGGACGGGTCTTGAGGAACTGCGGTATGATATGACGAAAAGAATCGACCGGGTAAATGAAAAGGCCTAAAAAGGCCACGGGAGGCTAGGAGATGAGCTGACAGATATGAAATCACAGGGCAAACGTGATCATGTATAGCTGCTTCAGAACACCGTTCAGTGCTTTTCGTAAAGTTAAGCTTTAGCCACAAAGGAATATGAAGAAAGAGACTGCAGAATGATACGAGCGATCGAGTAATCACTGAAAGATCATAACAACAACTATGCTCAAATGATACCTAAGTTGGCGAGTAGATTGCACGCTAAAGCTGATCTTCTGATGCGGAAGCTTGATGAACTTTTAAGTAGCAACAATCGAGAAAGTCGCCCAGATCCGAGGAAGAATTCACTTCTGATGGGTTTCGAGCCTCCAGATACACAGAGCTCCCCCAGCTCGAGAACAAGTTTAGAGTCTAAGAATATGCAGAGATCCAGGGCAGCCCCGTTAATGCCATTTTGGACGGATCCAGTCCCGCCAGAGGCGGAAGCCTCATCGGAGACAAGTTTGCCAACAACCGTCTCACATGACTTCACGATATATGCGCCAATGTTTGAGCCGCTTAATAAGTCCCTTGAGACGTTCATCACTAAACTCCCGAAGTCTACTGAGGGAGGAGAGAGGTCTCGAAGAACACTCAAGAAGCCGGAGTCGTACAAAGATGAATCAGATGGCTGCCTTGATACCTGGATAGAAGGGATG